CCCTCGCAGCCCCGGCTTCATCCAGAAGGTCGTCTGGTCTAATTAGCATATTACACTTTTATTATTATAGATTATGTCTATATCAGGGAGATGTGAGAATTAAATGGGTTGTTCATATATAAAAGCAATTATGACACCTAAGAACTAAACAAAGTCATTTAGCTATTATTATTGATATGTTACAGTTAACAGTTATTATTTGCTGATGGTGCTTCATAAGCAGTTTTTTTCCACATGTGGATTTTGATAAAAGTCACACACACACACACACACACACACACACACACACACACACACTTTCATAGTCAAATACGTTTGTGGAAACCCGAATAAAGCGAAATAAAGTTCCCAGCCTTTATAGGCTGATGTGCAGTGAAACTTTTCAACGCATAACATATCCCCAGTGCGTGGACCATTCCACCTTCTCGTGAGCAGGACCCTGACCCCAGGGGTGGCGCACAGTGGGGCTGGGGTGGGGGTGCAGGCATGCCAGGAGGGGCAGCTCTTCCCTGGGCGGGACTTTGCTGAGCTCTGCAGGCCATTCAGGGTCCATGGTTCCTGCCCATGAAAGCCAGTAACACTCCCCAGTGACGGCGACCACCCACCTGTCCCCCACCTAACCCACATGCCACCCGGCAGAGGTGCCACCTGGTTGGATCCAGTAGTTAGAGGCGTCCACACAGATCTCTCTCAGGAACTGGAAATCTCTGGGAATGAAGGCAGTGGACTGCTCCTGGAATGAGAACTTCACACCTAACCCACACGCCACCCGGGGGGAGATGCCACCTGGTTGGATCCAGTAGTTAGAGGCGTCCACACAGATCTCTCTCAGGAACTGGAAATCTCTGGGAATGAAGGCAGTGGACTGCTCCTGGGACGAGAACCTGTAAAAGGTGGAGAAGTGGTTACACGAATTTAAACTTACGTAAAAATTCACTGAGCTGTACACTTGAATCGTGTATATTTTAGTGTATCTGTAACTGAACAATCAATGGGTCTGTGCTGCCTGTCACTACTGGAGCCAGTTCAGCAGAGACAGGGTTGAATCATATAGGAGTGTTGATTCCAGTCCTGCCAGCAGCATGGGAGGGCAGCGGGTCATCCACAGAAATCTGCTCTGCCCCCCACCATAAGCCACTGCTTATATTGGGTAGAAGGACGAAGATTACATGGGGAAGTAGGCACAGGGGGTCTTCAAAGGGCTGGCGATATGCAAAGGGCTGGCGGCTCTAGTTTCTGCAACAAGGTTGTTAATCTTTCCATGGCCATAGGCAGCTCCCTGATGGGGAGGATGGGCTGCATTTCCAGGTGAGCTCCCAGGTCCCGAATCCAACTCCAGCCAGGTTAGAATGTGCCTTCTTTAACCAGGACAAAACCATGGTAAACAGAGCAGGATTGATATTTCTTACAATTATAGCTGGTCCCCAATATTCTATTTCTGCCCCTATCACATTTGTGCTCTTCCTCAATGAACAAAAACTTCCCCACTGGGCAGGACGGTGTACAAGGCACCAGAAACGGTCCTGAGCCAGGATGGAAGGCCATGTCTCCTTTTCTGCAGCACATGGTCTAGATTTGGGTGGTTTCCTTTCTTTCCCTCCATTAGGAAAGAATCTGAATTAAATGTCAGTACAGCATCTCCTCAGTAAGAATTTGTGTGCATGAGTAAATAAAAGGGGAAACCAAAAATATTGGTTACGTATGTGCAATTCTGTTCCTGCTGGAGCTCAACCGCAGTCTCTTGCCATTTAATTAAATCAATGGTGTTATTAATGATACTGGTCTATCCAACATAATTATCAGTGAAAGCTGACATTTTCCCAATGCGATCAGGTTGCTTAGAGAAAAGTCTGCATTTCTTTGCTCTTCTGTGGAGGATGGATTATCGCTGGGAGCCACTCCTTTGTCAAGTCAGTGACATGAAACAGTGTGAATGGATATGGCCAGATGTACAATATTCCCTTTGTTTTCAGAGCAGAAAGCCATTAACAGTTATCTCAGCATTCCTGTGTTTATGACACTTGTAAATTGATGCATGGTCTTCCCCAAGCAGGAGGCGGAACAAAAGCCTCTTAATTTTCTTTATGTTTATCCTTCCCCAGTTTCACGGTGTTGGGTGATGTGTGGGCTTCCTCCCTGGCAGCCCTGACTGCAGAACTGGGGAGTCGTTTACCCGGCCTGACAGTCACCAAGAGGAGTTTCATGAGGGGACAGGTCCGCCCCATTGCCATCGCGAGCAGGTCCAGGGCCGGCCATCAGTGCTCGCTTCTGCAGCTCAGGGATTGCTGAGCCCTGTGTGCGGAAGGAAAATGAAATGTAAACCATTCTAAGTGAGAGCGCTGTCCCTGACTGTTATACTAACATAAATCCACTCCGTCATTCTTAAATCTTTGCTTTGGACGCCATGGTCATAACGTATCCCTTCCTGCGACTGTAATGAAAGTTACTGACCTGTTTCAAGCTTCCTGAGTAGAAAAGTCTTGTTTAAAATTGAGATGCTCCGAGTTCATCCCAACATTAGAATTCAGTGTGGCCGGAACAGCACTTGATTCTCCGGTGGAGGGGTCAGTGTAGCCCCTTCCGCTCTGCGCCCAGAGCCTCCTGTAGAGATGGCTGGTGGAGGGATGAAGCAAAAAACCCAAGACCTCATAGACACAGACAACAGTGTGGTGATTCTCAGAGGGAGGGGGGTGGGGGAGGTGTAAGAGAGTAGAGGGTGATCAATGGTGATGGAAGGAGACTTGATGTGGGTGGTGAACACAGTGCAAAACACGGTTGACGTTAGTGTGCCGTGTACATTCCATCCGTTGTTCTGTTATGTCTGACAAACGTGTGACCTCACTTGACCTCATCGTATGCTACGGGCAGCCATGCTTCTGTCCCGTGTGCAGATGAGCCAGAAAGGTGGGCGCCCCCGGGCCTCACAGGAAGGCTGTGGATGTCACCTGCTGACTCAGGGCCGTTTCTTACACACGTCACGCTCCTGCTCAGTGGTCAGCAGGCCACAGTGCCTTTGCGTGTAGAGGGAGGCCGGGCGAATGGACAGAGGCCAAGCCCGCCCCCGCACCCACTTCTTAGAGCAGAAGATGATGTAAGTGAGTGGTTCTGTTTGAGGAACATGTGGGCAATCTGAGGCCCCTGTAACGTGGAGGACGCACGTGTGTTAGGGGCTGTTGTTCAGGAGAAACAAGGGCCGATTTTCCGTGTTGTCATGTTGGGGCACTCCTGTGCAGTATGCATGTCGGTCCATGTTTCCGTTCTGGAAACAAGCGTGTTCTCAATCCCGTCACACTAACCTCTTCAGGGCACCAGAATCCAGCGAGAAGGGTCCCCTTTGGCCACTAAGACATCTGTTTCCTTTGAGTTCCATGTCAGGATGATCTCTTCCTCCCCAGGATGAGTGGGGAGAGGAGGGAGATGTAAACCACCCTGTCCAATTCATGAAAACTCATTGGTTCTTTTTCTTGACCAGGGGTGATGTCATTGGACCTGACCAATCAGACATCAGCTTGAGGTCACTGGCTCTCAAACATGTTTTAGTGTATTTTCTTGTCTTAGTTCCAACTCCATCCTGAGATGCCATGAATGCTTTCATCGGGTGTGCGGCCTCAGACTCAGATTCTTGGAAGAAAGATGGATGGGAATATAATTGTGGAGCTATCTTTCTGTTTCAAAATGTACTTACTGCCCAGCTGGTGTGGCTCAATGGTTGAGTGTTGACCTATGAACCAGGAGGTTATGGTTCAATCCCCAGTTAGGGCACATGCCTGGGTTGCTGGCTCATTCCCCACTATGGGGCATGTAGGAGGCAGGTGATCAATGATTCTCTCTCATCATTGATGTGTAGTAACTGTTTAGTAACTGGTTTTTAAAAAATAAATTTTTATTGATTTCAGAGAGGAAGGGAGAGGGAGAGAGAGATAGAAACATTAATGGTGAGATAGAATCATTGATTGACTGCCTCCTGCACACCCCACACTGGGCATTGAGCCCGCAACCTGGGCATGTGTGCTGACTGGGAATCAAACTGTGACCTTCTGGTTTATAGGTCGATGCTCAACCATTGAGCCATGCCAGCTGGGCCCTTACAGTCTCATTTTAAGCCAGGAGCTCAATGTTCCTTCCTTTTTGTGGGAGAGACTTTCTTGGATCAAGACCATGTCGTTACAAAAGTCAGATCATTGCTATTGAGCAATTAGCACCCAAGGCTATTTTACTGTGGCTGTTAGAGGCACTGGGAGATTAATTGAAACAGCCTGCCCTCCCTTACGAGGCCCCTGGTTGTTTCTATGCTCCGTTTCAGGGTAGGATGATGTATTAATCTGGAAATGTGGTTTCCTAATAGCATCATGGTTTTGGAAGCCTTTCCCTTCACAAATAGGACAGCTCATTAAACAGACACATGCGATGGCCTTAAAGAAATCGGCATTGAATATTAATGGCAGAGAATATTAAATAATAGATTGCAGGTGACGAGTGATACATAGCTCTACACAGTGAACTCGGATCACTGTTCTCGATGTGTTTCGAAGCGAGAAGGACCAGGAAACTTTGAAGGACAAGGCATTACCGTGTTTCCCTCACACTTTTCCCCTTAGAAACAGCTACACAGTTGAGTGTCCCCAAGCTTTCCCAGTGGGTAGAACTAGTGTTTGCAGTTTGGCAACGCTCAGCTTTTCATAATGAAAGTAGTTGTTTTTAACACATTTTATTTTGTGGATCAGAATAATTCTTTACGTAAAGACACATTTGAAAATATTTTTTATTACTAATGTAAGCCCTATCCAGGCCACCAAATGATGTGTCTCTCTCACATCGATGTTTCTCTCTCTCTGTCTCCACCCCTCCCATTCTCTCTAAAAAATCTATGGAAAAATATCCTCGGGTGAGGATTAACAACAACAAAAAAAGAAAAATATATGTAATTTCTGTGATGTTGACATTTTAGGGTATATGAGCTTCCAGTCTGTGTTATTCTGTATTTTTTTCTTCATTTCCAGGTCGACCCCATTCCCCTCCGTTTTCACCCGAAGGGCAGAGGGGACAGAGTCCCGTCCTCTGCGCGTCCTCCTCCCGGAAGAGCAATGGAGAGGCTGCCTGGCGCCGGCGGAGCCGTCTTCTCTCTACTGTCCCTCCTCTTGCATTTCGCCAGCGCCTCTGAGATCCCGCTCTCAGGTACAGTGATGGCGTCAGTACCGGCTCTCTGGGATCTCATGTGCATTTTGATTTCACGTAGGACACGTCTAGTCGAGGAGGCGTTTCGACCATATCTCTGTGTATTTCCCAGCACTCCGTCAGAATCTGCCTGTGTCTTCCTCGGTGTTTGCGTGGCTTGCACTGCGCTGCCCATGACATTCCTTGCAGCCCAGGCCTTTTGCCTCCCTGCAGACTTGGCCTATGAGAACGTAGGCTAGAGATTAGGAGGTATTTTGCCATATAAGATAGTCTCAAGTACAACCAACAGCTGCTCCTTTTATATACTCAGGTTAATTTATTTTAGGGACAAGTATGATTTAGAAATTACTGGTACCCAACCAATCATAACAAAAAAAGGAAATGAATAAACTTTGTATTCTTTTTAAAAAAAAATGACTATATATGTAGGAATGAAAAATGAGATAGGAAAGTGTTAAGCAGCCGTTTTTATAGTGCGCAAATACACACGTCCGATGGCACCCACTGCAGATGTAGGCACCTGTCCTGTGAATTTACAGCAAGAGCCCAGTCAGTGGTTTTATGGAAGTTTACATCCTAGCATATGTTGGTAAGATGAATGCAGATCTAAAAAATCATAAATCTGTTTAATTAAGTGAGAATAATTAAAAACTCAAAAAAACGAAAACTGAAAAAAGCAATGTAACTGTGTAACCAGACAGTCAGTGGGTCTGACTGTCTGTCACAACTTGAGCCAGTTCAGCAGAGACAAGGTTGAATCATATATGAGTGTTGATTCCAGTCCTGCTGGCAGCATGGGAGGGCAGGAGGTCATTCACAAAAATCTGCTCTGCCCCCGACCTCACTATAAGCCAGGTGTTAATATTGGGTAGAAGGACAAAGATTACATGGGGAAGTAGGCAAAGGATAGGCCAAATGTACAGTTTACAGGTAATGGGGGCTGGGGATCCTCAAAGGTCTAGTGATATGCAAGGGCTGGGGGTCTTCAAAGGGTTGGCATAGGCCAAATGGGCACTTTACAGGGAATAGGGGCTGGGGATCCTCAAAGGGCTAGTGATGTGCAAGGGCTGGGGGTCTTCAAAGGGCTGGCAGGTCTGGTTTCTGCAACAAGGTTGTTAATCTTTCCATGACCATAGGCAGCTCCCTGAGGGGGAGGATGGGCTGCATTTCCAGGTGAGCTCCCAGGTCCCACCTGCACCTCCCAGCCAGGTTAGAATGTGGCTTCTTTAATCAAAATACAACAATCACGGTTAACAGAACAGGATTAATATTGCCTACAATTCTAGCTGGTCCCCAACATTCTGTTTCTGCCCCTACATCTGCAAATGCAATGTATGTAGAGTATGTTAACTACAGTGTAGAGATTTGGGGACATTCTCTTGTGTGATGAGCTCATGGGACATAATGAGACCCTTGAGAAGTTAGTTAGATATTTTGTCCATGAAGTTCAAGGCTTATCCCCCTGGGGTTTCCGCCTGTGACTTTGAGAGTTATTAACAATGTGTGCTGGGGCTCCTGAGACTCTCCGCCTTGGGAAAGGCCTCCAGGCCGTCCGAGTTCTGGAGAATTAGTCTGGGCCTCAGAAAGTCGAATACGCAGGTGCTAGCCCTTCAAAAACCCAGACAATCAGTCCCACTGTGACCAGAAGAGGCCGTCACTCCGGCCGAGTTAACTAATGTGCTGGAAACCACTTTCTGAGGCTTCCTTAGGTTACGGGACATCACATGCTGTGGCCTGCACCTGAGCCCCCGCCCCCCGCCCCCCCCATGAGAGTTGCTTCTCCCCGCCTGTGACTTTGAGAGTTATTAACAATGTGTGCTGGGGCTCCTGAGACTCTCCGCCTTGGGAAAGGCCTCCAGGCCGTCCGAGTTCTGGAGAATTAGTCTGGGCCTCAGAAAGTCGAATACGCAGGTGCTAGCCCTTCAAAAACCCAGACAGTCAGTCCCACTGTGACCAGAAGAGGCCGTCACTCCGGCCGAGTTAGCTAATGTGCTGGAAACCACTTTCTGAGGTTTCCTTAGGTTACGGGACATCACATGCTGTGGGCAGCCCGCACCTGAAGTCCCCCCGCCCGCCATGAGAGTCGCTTCCCCACTCTGCTGGACAGGTTTCCCTGGCCCCCTGCTTGAGAAACCCCACTGACCCACCCCCCAGACGTACAGATTCGAGGTTCTCTATTCGAGGTGAAATCTGCCGGCTCACACACACTGTACGCCAGCCTCACTGTAGAAATGCGGGGAAGGCCCTGAAAGAATTCGTCCTCGGGAGGTTCTTTTGCTTTGAGTAGCAGTGCCTCACTCGGAGCGGAGCGAGGTTCCCCGTGATCATCGAGGGAAAGGGGCTCACTTCACACTTGCCCCGGGCCAGTTCCCAACTCACAGTCCCCCTCCTCTCTGAGAACATCCCCTTCCTCTCCATCTTCCCTCCTCGGCTCCATTGGTGGGGAAGGGTGTGAGATTTTTGTCTCCGTTCGCAATGCTCATTTTCATTCCGGTTGTCTCAGCTACTTACGCGTTTTCATGGCGCACGGTCCTTCGCCAACAATTGTTATAAAATATTAATGACTTGTTTTCAGAGCAAGTGAATATTACCCATTTATTTCAGGACTCTGGAGCAAATGAAACGGAGGCAGGTATTCAAATTGAATGTCAGCACGTCTGGTGTCTGTGTAATTGGCCTAATTATGGAGAAAGAATTTATAATGTAGAATATCTATTCTTATAAACACCCAGAGGTGGTGAGCTCCGTTCCTGGAATAATTAGTTATGCTGAGACTTTACAACCTTAGCAAATTTAGGGAGAATAATGCTCTCCCAAACAAGTTGTTCACAAGCCATTAGCTGATATCTCCGGGACCGCGGCTATTGTGCGCCATCCCTCACCATTTATAACGGTAGTAAAAGGTGAGTAACACGAATATGCATTCAGCGCAAGACCTGCTTGGCTTGGACCTATCGTTAACCAGAAGCAAGGCAACTGTCCGTGCAGATATGGATGTTATTAAAACATTTACCAGTACCCAGTGGATAAAGCCTGAACCTAGGCTAATGCTCCTAAGGTAGTAAAACATAATTATCAGATTCATTAGGCACAGATACAGAAAATGGAATTTTTTAAAAATATATTTTATTGAGTTTTTACAGAGAGGAAGGGAGAGGGATAGAGAGTTAGAAACATCGATGAGAGAGAAACATCGATCAGCTTCCTCCTGCACACCCCCCACTGGGTATGTGCCCGCAACCAAGGTACATGCCCTTGACTGGAATCGAACCTGGGACCTTTCAGTCCGCAGGCCGACGCTCTCTCCACTGAGCCAAACCGGTCAGAGCCAGAAAATGGAATTTTAAAATTGGAAGTGGCATGGAGTTATTGTCCTCGGCTGAGCGTCCGTCATAGGTGACCCTAGTACCTCTCCGGTCCCAGGGGCACATCCGGGCAGTCTGTGACCAGACCTTTCACAGTAACACCGCCTGGCATTGTTGCTTTTTGCTCTGCAAACAGGTGCCTTATGTTACAAAAGCAACAGGGGTAGTTGGTGTCACCCTGGCAGAGATCAAGGTGTTGGCAGCCAGCTGGGCCAGCAGGCAGGGTGTTCTGCACAACCATCTCCTCTCAGTAAAACAAAACAAAACAAAACAAAACAAACGTTTTGCTTAAGATTGTCCTTGTGCAGCCCGGCCAGCGTGGCTCAGTGGCCGAGCATTGACCTATGAACCAGGAGGTCACGGTTCAATTCCTGGTCAGGGCACATGCCTGGGCTGTGGGCTGGATCCCCCAGGAGGGGACGCCCAGGAGGCAGCCGGTCAATGATTCTCTCTCATCATTGATGTTTTTTCTATCTCTCTCTCTCCCTTCCTCTCTGAAATCAATAAAAAATAAATTTTAAAAAAAGATTGTCCTTGGTGAAGCACGTAAATGTTGTTGCTCTTATTAAGTGTCCTTTCTAGAACACATTCTTCTTCATAATCTGTGGCTGAACCAGGACATCCACATAAAGTGGTTCTGCCTCTGACCAAAGCCCCAGGTGGTCCTGCTCCTTCACCGAGTCGTGGTGTGAGCACCATTTTTACTCCAAAGAACACGACAGACCGAGATTACAGGAATGGGTACGTGGCAGATGTTACTCCCAGTGGATCAATGGACCCTGTCACGTCAAGGTGGACAGCTGACAATATGTGTTTCATTGATAAAATTAGCAAACCGATAGTCTCCACTCGGAGCCTGACAGCTCCCCGACAGGGACGGCTTTTCTGGTCCGATCAGTGAGGATATTGACAAAAGTGAATTTGGAATACTGTGTAATGAAATATATCAGGATTGGCGGATGGCTGTCACTCAGGGAACCAGTAATTTTTCCAAACGGTTATTGTGTGATGTTACCAGATCATGTATGATTAAAAAGAATCCACGGATCAGACATTTTACTACAACAGAGTATGAACAGTTTATGGCTACAGTTTCAGACTCCGCATTGCAATGTAGAAACTGCCACTCTCCCTAGCCAATTTGGCTCAGTGGATAGAGCATCAGCCCATGGACTGAAGGGTCCGGGTTCGATCCCGGTCAAGGGGCATGTACCTCGCCCAGTTACAGGCTCAATCCCGGCCCTGGTGAAGGTGTGTGTAGGAGGCAACCAATCAATGTGTCTCTCTCACATAGATGCTTCTCTCTCTGCCTCTCCCCCTCCCTTCCACTTTCTCTAAAAATCATTGGGAAAATATCCTTGGGTGAGGATTAACAAACAAAAACATTTGTATTAAATGTAAAAAAAGAAAAAAAAAGATACTGCCACTTGGTGAGTTTTGGTGCACTCTCTACGGGACTATCCACAGTCACCAGATGGGCCTGGAAAATATTTTACCTGCTCACAGACAGACCTGTGTGAGGCTGGGTTTTCTTCTTATCTTTATTATTAATATATACATATATATATATATATATCTGTGTATATAT